ATAATAATATGAAAGGTTTGCAAATATGTTTAATGTCACTGCAGTAATAAGTGCAAACTATTTTTTACATGTGTTTTTTTCGTTTTCTTTTGAATATTTAGTAATTTATTTCAAATATTAAAATTCTACAATAATTATGATTCTTTTAATGCATAGTAACTGAATACAAAATATTAACACAAATGTCCAAAAATTCTTAACAGCATTTTTTAAAAATTTTAATACTATGCAGTTTTGACAAGGTGAAAGAAGCTGAATTAGAAGTAATTATAAGAAATGAATGTGTAGAGATCGCTTTTACATCTTTAATTACATATAATTAAAGATTACCAGTTTTATTTTTAAAGATAATATGTACACAAAATTTTCGTATTTTGATGGTAATGTTCTACACGGTCACAATGAAAAAGATCTTTAAAAATGAAAAATAGGTATCCATTTTGAGTTTTGACTTTGCATAATGTCATATGTGCACATGTCATATGGAAAATGTGGTCCACTTATTTAAAACTATACTGATAGCAAGCTAAGTGTTCTAAACAGTGTGGTCTCGTAATGAATATCAAATTCGATTCAAAATACATAGTTTTTAAAATAGTACAGTAATAAAAAATAAGCACACATAATTCCTTTAATTAGGAACTTAACTATTACAAAAGATTTAAAAGAATGTGCAAATATAACATATTCTAATTCATAAGCAAAACAACTGACAGATGTACAGGGTCAGACATTCACAAAAGCAGTTAAAATCAAGCATGTACAAAAAACAGAAGCTTATATAAATATTTTGAGCAAAAATACTAATTAACTAGAAAGAAAACTAATATTGAGTGACCACACTATTATAACAATATTTAATTTTTATACTGCACCACTTTTAAGGCAATTTGATTCATTTCTTTCATTGGTAAACACTATTTTATCACAATGCTACTCATATATAGTGAAGTTATGATAGAGTTTTTGGAGAAAATAAAGCATGAATGAAATTTATAAGCTCACAAAATGCAACAAAAATGTTCTTGTTTGTATTTGATATGTGTGCTTCTTTGTAAAAAATTTTTGATGTGAACACCATGTGGCATATAAAATATTATATTCAAAAATATAAATAAATAAATGCAATAAATACTGAGATGAAGCTTTTGTTGAAGCCATTAAATAAATCAAAAAAATTAGTAAATCATTAGACTATCCTTTGCTTAAACAGGTATAGTACTTCTTGCTTTACAATCTCTGTAGAAATCAAATATTTATATAAATAATGCAATTTCTCCTCACTTTTTCTTGTTAAAAAATTTATTCAGAATGGGAAGATTTTTTTCCCTCCACTTGAATTTATTTCAACCACATTTTTCTGGTTATTGCTTTAATAATGGCTTAAAATTTATACTAAAACATTCCTGTCCTTGATGATTAGAACTATGAAATGTTATATGTACTGTTCCAAATACTTTTTGGCACCAAATATATATAAATGATCAAGAAATCGCAGCATTTTCTCAGGTATATAAACTAATCTACACAAACTTTTGTTGGTCAATAAAATTTTCAATTAACTTTCTTTTCCTGCTCCCTTCAGTTTCATCTAGAGGTTTGATCACATTTATTTTAAAAATGTAATTGCTGTTAGGATACTACCAACCTGGATGCAGGGTACAATTGTGGTAGGCTCGGTAACATTTTCCATCATTAAACTTTAAAAGCATTCAAGTTTTTGAAACCTGTTATTATTGTGATAAACTGCTTATTTGAATATACAGGGTGTGGAAGGGAAACTTCCTTACTTGAAATGTATGCCATCTAGTAACATTTATTCCGAGAAGGGTGTGGTGGCACTCCTTGAAAAGAACAGTATCTAAAGTTAATGTCATATAGGTTTAGTACCGATCATGCAGTGGACGAGAGAGGAGTGTTTCGTTCTCTGTGGAGTTGTACTTTTAAACATACTGCATTTTCATCCATATAAATTGGCCGTGATGCAAAAACTTAATCCATGCGATTTTCTTTCACATAAAAATACATGCAAAGCCGTTCTTAACAATACACCTCATGATGCCCTTGTGTTCTTTAGCAATGAGGCTCATTTTCATCTTTCCAGTTGCAGCATGCATTAAGCAAAACATGCAATAATGGAGTGGCACGAATTCCGGAGAATTTCATGAGGAGCCTCTCCATACAGTAACGTGTGACTGTGTTGGTGTGCATTGTCCAGAATAGGCATCATTGGACCATGATTTTTTTGAAGAGCATTTTCCTGGATGCCTTATCTCTTTACGAGAGCGATCTGTCAGTGGCCAGCGCGCTCGACTGATTTAGACTCCGTGTGAATTTCTTTTTGTGGGCTATCTAGAAATCTCCTAATCGTCCAAAGACTTCTGGCTCAACTGAAGAACAATATTCAAGCTGCTATCGACAACATACTCATTGATATACTGGTAAAAGTGGAAAGAAATTTAAAAACTTGACTATCTCAATGCACTGACCAGAACGGAGACCACCTTAATGATATTATTTTTAAATTGTAATAAAAAAACCTTTAAATGTCTTTAAAGAACTTGGAATAACTTCTTTTAAATAACTTGGAAAAAATTTAAACTGATATCACTTATACTATTTGTGTTATTCATTTTTAAAGTAAGGTAGTTTCCCTGCCACACCCTGTACAATCTGAAATGAAATTTATTATAGTTAGAAACAATCTATTTTCAAATGTATTTACTTACAAAAACATGAAATCTAAAATGCACATTAGGCCCAAACCAAATAACTACCTTTATTTAACCGTTACCTGTTTTTAATGTCTTTGACCTGAATCAATATGAAGAGGTCATTCCTCATTTAAACATCAGCTGATTATTATTTATTTTTTAAATTTATAAATTAAGTCTGAGAGAGAGGATATTTTAGATCCTTGTGTCCAAAAAGTCTTTGATGAATTTTAAATTACATCTAGTTCAATATAGACCTTTTTAAAGGCATTCTGAACAGCTTACCAAAGAACAGATAAATCTTCACTCATTAAACATTTTCACTTTCCTTGTATAAACCATTAAAAAAAAAAAAAAAAAAGACTGGAAATTTATGCAATGAAATATTCAGCATGTAGTTATTGAAAAAGTTCACTTTCCAAAAATATGCTTGTGACAATAAATTAAGCTATTTTCATGGTCTTCCAAGTGTATTCCATAGATTCTTGGAATTGCAAACAACTCTATTCAAAATTAGCTATTTATTTATTTTCAAATTACATTCCACAGAACCTCGGGATTCTACAAGTCTTAAATTAGAACTTGGGGGGGGGGAGTAAAAGTTTGAAGTTCATTTAAAATACATTAACTTTTGATAGAATTACTTCTCATTCAATGACTATTTATTTCAATTCAGATCAGTTTGTTTTTATTTATTTCACATCATGTAAATATACATGGATAAACCCAAAGATTTTTCTAAGGAAGAAATTAAGTTTACATTTATTATTTCAATCATAGTCACAGTTTACTACAGATGGTAGGTTGCCATAAAGTAATACCCATAATTTGAAATATTATATAATTACTATCTCTTTTCTATTACATACACAAATTCTAAAAGAAAAATTTATTGAAGAAATCCACCATTCTACTTACAATGAAGGCACTTATACCATTTGAAAAAAATTATATATAAATGGTTTCATTCGAATTAATAATGTAAACCAGTTCATTTAAAGAAATTATATTCCCAGAAGCAGTGTTTAATTAAAAAGATAAATCTTCACACATAAAAGTTATAACTTATATTAAGTTAAAGTTAAGTTATAAGTAATAGCTTATATTTTTTAAGGTTCTTAAAACAAAAATAACAATTTCCTTACATCATAAAATGGATTCAATATCAATCATACAGTGATCTGATGGTTTTTAACTGCCTACAAATTTCTAGCAGAAAATTCTATCTATAACTACAATACCATTAGCTTATTGCAATCAACTTAAAAAGAAACAAATCATACAACGGGGTACAGCATATAGAAGAAAACACTTTTGTAATAAATTAGTCTCAATTCTGTTTATTTTTTCACATACTTGGTCATTAATATCATATTTTATATATCCAACACTATTACAAGGTTCTCACTCAAATTTTGAATTTTGCACATGATTAAACCACATTTCCTCTTCACAATACATATAGTTAGAAATTAAGTATAAGTTATTAAATAATTATATACATTTACTGCAAAATACACTAAACTAATAATATTTTTACATTATAAAAATGTGATCATTATTATGAAGCAAATAAAAATATATGCAGGATAATACCAAATCTGGAAAAATTATTCATTACCCACATGAAAAAAAATAAATAATAACAGTTCATCTTTCACAACAAATATTATCCCTATGATGTTTAAAATAAAATGAAAATTACACTGGGCTGAAAAAAGTAACCAATCTAATTATTTATTATAATAATTTCACAACATGGTCATTTCTAAATTGCATATTATTTTTCCTGACCACTTTTTAAGATTTTCTAAATGCATTATTTATACTGACAGAATCACTGGATGTTTACAAGTTTGCTAATCAATACCAGACTGATAGGTCTTTTGCCTATACGATTTACCTACTTTATCCTTTATTTATTTTACCTACTTTTACTTTTATTGGCTAATCTTTGGAATATGGTAACAGGTAGTTTGGCGACATTTTGGTAAGGCGATAAAGGTTACTAGCTAGGACTTTAGCAGTGTACATGGATAAAGTCAAGAGTGTGCGCAATGCCATTTTTGTGCAATTCTGGGATGTTTTTTTAAGGGAAAATAGGTTGACGTGTAAATGGATGATACTGTGTATGTGCAATTCTTAAAAACACGGCAAGCAGTGGGCGATTCTGCACTTTCTCCCAATTTCGCACCTAATCTTTATCAGGATTAAGCACTTTTGTTCCACAAAAGTTCTAGCATAAGCGTAATTCGGCTAGCAGCTTGTTGGAAAAAAACGTTGAGGAAAAAAAAACCCATGCCTTTACTTTGTGAAAACAAAATGGCGTCCAAACAAAAACTAGCAAGTTGCTGTAGCAGGGTTGGTTGCCAAATTTTCGCCAAGTTACCATAATCCAAAGATTAACCCTTTTATCCTCTACAGATCCATCCAATTCTTTTAAGATTTTTAGCCTTTTACAATTATATATTAAATAACAGTAAATTACACTTTATGCAAAAAACAATATAAGAAAATGAGATAAAAATTCACTTTAAAATACTCTCAGTTGGTAGCTGTAAAATTGTACAGCCTGTTAGTATGGTAAACATGTTACAAGTCTTATATTTAAAAATAAATTTTATGAAAAAATTTTGGGCAGAAAAAAATTCAAAAGTTGTCAAATATTATAATTTTGCTAACATTGCTATTTTATAATGGGACAAAAACAGTGAATATTAAGTTCTTGAAAAATGAGTTGCAGTTATTTTATTAGTGCAGTAAATATTTTTTTAATAACAAAAACAGTTCTTTTTATTTAAACTGCATATGGGAACGTGATCATAAAATCATAAATACATCAGCATAATCTGTCATTAAATTCAAGCTACAAACTTAATGCATTTAAAATCATTAGTCATCATACTATATAACTCGTAATGTGAATTTAAAACCTTAAAACAAAAGTGTTTACATTTACAACACAATGATTTATTTTTAAATACATGTTAAATTATCTTACATGTAGAAACAGGAAACCTGTTATGCATAAATGGCATTTTAGACTTGGTATTTAACACGTTAAGTGCCATGTGAATTTATATGGAAATTTCCGCCAGGCCATGGGTGCTGCTTAGAAATGTGCTAGTACTGTGGTTAAGCTATACCAAGTGCACTTTTAAGATTGTTAGTTAAGACTAGAAATATTTTATGTTTACATACATTCAGTTCTCTGTGGTTCTTGGTCCTATGCTGATAAAATCTTTCTTTAACCTAGAACACAAAAATGTCAACTGAATGTCAGTTCATAAACTGCCAAGACGAAGACATTCTATCTAGCAATACTGCAACTACTATTAAAAAAACCATGGCACAAACTTAAAAAAAAACAACTGAAAAAGTCTCTAGAATACAACAATATTGTAAATTATGCTATAAAGAAAATGCAGCACACTTGGAATGGCCAGAAAACTGACTGAATAAGTCACTACATTTTGTGATACCTCTGAAGATCAACCATTTTTATTTTTACCACATTTCAATACAATCCGTTAAAACAATGCAAATTTTTTGTTTTATATAGCATTTGTTACTTTCAATCACCGGCAACTGATGCAGCCTGAATGGGAAATTTGGTGTCAGCCACCGGTGACTGATGCAGCCTAAATGAAAAGTTCAGTGTCAATCACTAGTGGATGATATGGCACTCAACGTGTTAATTCACTTTTTAATTAATCCTCACTTGGCTTCTAGATATTTAATCATAATCACTCTTACACAACAGATTTTGAGATACTATCCTCTACTTGCATTTGGGTTTCAGTTATACATCTTTCAACATACATAGATGTTCACAAACTACATTTCCCTGTATTTGGATTCAGCATTAGTTTACAAGAGAAAAAAAAAAAAAAAATCTATGTATTTGTTATTCCTTTATGCAACTTAAATTATTATTATTTTTAATATCATGCTGATGAAGAAAAACAAATATTATAACAGAAATAGCCACTGAAAATTATCAAAGTACATAGTGTGATAAATTTGACCAGCTTTTGACAATTAACCATCCTCCCCTTTTTTTAACCAATCCAATTCCCATACAGCAGTGCAATGTAACACTTAATGAAAAAAAAAAGTAGTAAGGAATTTAAAAAATAAAACCAGTTTTATTCCATTTATTAAAAAAAATTCTGTATTCAATTTTATTTGAACTAATTACATACAATTCAATTAAAAACTTTACTGAATATAAAGAAAGTTCTCTGAATATTAAATTTTATTAAAAGGAGCACTTTTATATGATCATTTTGTATAAAAATATAACAAAACATAAAACAAAACACACTTTTCTTTTAAAGGAGCTGAAAAAATGTACACTTCTTAACATGTAAATGACTATCAAAATCGAAAAATTTTAAAAATATTTTTGGTTTAAACATTTGGGTCCCAGCCCCATCATGTTTAAAAAAAAAAAACTCTATAAAAACAAAAGCTGATTAATATTTTAACAATCATACACTTAAAACATAAACTTCCCAAAGCATTCATATTAAAAAAAAATTCAGAAATGTACTCGACTGGATTATTTTAGGCAGTAATTTATACCTCCTGATATGTAATTTTAACAAAAATATCTGCTTCCACAACACAAGCTTCATCAGTTGAAGCTGTGGCAAGTCATAAATACAGCTTACCTAACAAAAAAAGTATAGCACAACCAAAAACACCAAATCACCCGTTTATAAACTGGAAACAAAATGTTTATGCTTGCTTCAATTATAGGCTAAAAAAGGACACTTGACAAGAACTTCAAAACACTGCCCTATAACCTTCATATTTTTTTTAGGTTTTATGAGAAGGTGATAAAGTTGAAGATAAAGATAACTGAGACAAGCTATCTTTACAAGAACCAATTTCAATATCAGCACTGACAGGAGGCTCCAGAGCAGTTTGAACAGTAACTTGAACATTGCGATTGACACTGAAAGCTGGGAAAAATACACCATGAAGATCTGTAAAAGCTACTGGTCCCTGTCGCTCATCATTTACAAAGAAACTCAACTGATGCTGCTCTAAATCTAACAGAATTCCAATTACAGAACCTATTTCAATACCACCTTCTGTTCTGTTTTCATGATGATCTGCATGCAAAAACCAAGATCGTTGATGGTCTATGTACATGCTCCATCCTTTGTCATCCTTTCCTGAAATTAAAAAAAAAAAAAAAAAAAAAAAAATTATAAGAAAATAAAATGATTATCACAACACAAACTAGAAATGAAAAGTCCCATGCATATACTTTCACTTTAATATGATCATAAAATGCTTATGGTTGACTAATACACAAAATGCAAAGAGATATTTAATGCTACAGGATAAATTACCAACAGAAATAATCTGATCAGGATTTATAATAGTCAAACACCATTATAACAGGAATCCGAAGTACCTTTTGATACTCGTAATACATTTGGGATTTAAATCTTTTACTTCTATTCTAAATCATAGCCTCCCTCCAAAAAAATCCTCCTCTACAATGAGTTTAACTATAAAGCTAAAAAGAAAAGTTCAGTGCAATGACACTCTTAAGCTAGTCAAACTTCTTTTATCTTGAATCTCTCAGTATGTTAAAAAAGATATTGCCTGCATTTTCAGCATTACATCAGGGTATTTTCCAATAAACAGCTCTCTTGAAGAATTTTCTTTAAAACTCAAGCTATCTTGACTTTGCAACTCCCGTGTCACAGCAATGAAAAAGCAATTGAATTTCTGGCCTTTTCCCCTGAACATACTATCTAGCCTGAGAACTTGTTTGTCTGCAATCTTGAGATTTTAAGCTGGTCAGGATAGTTCTTTATTTTCTTTTCTGTGTTTTGAAAACGTAGTCCTACATTTGAATATAGGCCCCTGGAAGCCCAAGGTTGGAATCTGTTTTATTATCTATTTCATATTTGGTAAAACTTAAATGAATTTTTGATTAACAAACTCAGTGATTTCAAAGCGAGCAATGGCAACACTGCACACACACACACACACCACACACACACACACAAAAAAAAAAAAAATTGTCCTTAGCATGCTAGACTATGTATTAGAAATTGTAAAGATATGCTCTTTTTAAATATTTTGCGATACTGCCATTGAACTGGATTTTATGGTTTAAGTATGAAGAACATGTTATTTAATAAATAAAGGTAATACACAAAAGCAAAATGTCCTTTGGGCATAATATAAAATCTGAATTCAGATTTTTTTTTTTTTTTTTTCCGTTATATTGTTAAACTCCAATCTAAGCAAAGGAAGGAAACTAACAACAGTTGTTTTCCCAACAAAATTTTTTCCATTTAATCTCAGACCTCATTATTATTTAAAAGTATCCTTTTTCACAACAATATCCCCCTTGAACTTTATTAGTCAATCCAGTCTCCCACAATCTTTTCCAAACCAATCATAACCACTTAGGCACCACATATATTTTCGCTACAGAACCCCAAGAAACACGAGTAGGTTATTTTCTTCTCATTTGCTACAGAAAATCCTCCAAAGATACATCATGCCCTGACAAAATGTCTCTTAGGAAAATAATGTGTTTGTTTAGTCTTCTCTCTTCAGTTAGCAGTATAGTTAAAGAAACAAATAAATAATAAACAGCATCAATGCTCCAAAGTGTTTTTTTTTTTTTTTTTTTTTTTTACAAAGCCACTGCATCCATTTACCTCCTATGATGAAAGGCTTTACTACAATTTCACATAAAAAATATAAAAAATTCCTTTTTTTTAAATGTACAATTGTTCCCTAGGCGGACTCTCCATGGGTTACTTCTCATTAAGGGAAGAGAAAACAACTCTCTTCTCATGCACAGAATTGAAAAGATCCCTTTATTCACATTCTAATTGAACTTTTTGTCACTCGTACCATTTAATCCTTACTTTCTTGATATTTCCTGTCAACGAATCAACAGCATATAGAAATAACCCCGACGCCAGAATCACTCATCCTCTTTATCAAAAGAAAAAATTACTGAATTCAGAAGTTTTTTTGCTTCCGAAGAAGAGGAACCAGTGTCTGATTGCCCTCAAAATTGATGGAGTTATGTTTACAATCTACGTGAAACTAAGGCACTTTTTCACCTAATTCTAAATCTGTACACACTGTTTCTCTTAAATTCATCAAAAAAAAAAAACTCATTATTTCATTTTTTCTCCAAAGCTCAACTGTATATTGATTAACACAAACACAAATTCACAGCCAAAACTAACATTAGCTAAAGATTCATTTAATTTATTTAACCATATTACTTGATGGTTGTTATCAAGTGGTTTGGATTGATTTTAAAATTAAATTAAAAAATAAAATATTAGATAAGATTTCAAATTTTCATCCTTCAGTATATCAATGAATGCAAAATTAGTACCATCAGAGCTCTGTGTTTTTATATTACAAAGTTTTTTTACTACAAAATTCGGAATCACGAGAACAAGTTACAAAAACATTCCCCGGCATACTAAATACATAAATTTATATATAGAGAGAGACAGAGAAAAAGAAATTCATGAAGTAGAAATACATAACTTTCTACTAACTAAATATAAAAAGCAATTTGAAACCTCATAAAATTACACACTGATAACTGAGAGAACTAGTGGTAATATTGCAAAATAAAAAGTAAAACATTTAAATCCATTAACATTTGTTTACTGTATCAACCCATTAGAAATAAATGTATAATTATTCATATACACAACAAGCTCCTTGAAAAAGTTTAAGGGGAAAAAAAAACATTGCGATACACAATAAACAAATGTATGAGAAAGTGGAAAAGCAGTGTAAACAAAAAGAGTGTAAAAAGAAATGGAGTATTTATGTCTTTCATCACATCATTGTCAGGGAGTCGGTGTAACGAAAGAAGCAAATGGATCAGCCTGTTTCTGAACTGACAACGGCATAAATTTACAAATTAAAACTTAAAAACTTCAATTTATCATAAAACAATATATGCCCTTATCAGTCTCACAACTACAAGGCTGGACTGGGAAGATTGATTATAAAAAACAGATCAGACCTATTCAAAGTAATCAAATTTTAAATAATTTGATTGAAAAACATATTGAGCAGATTGAATCTAAATATTAATCTAACACCACATGGAATGTTACATATTGTTGCGTGCATATAGGTTCATAATAGATTGAATGCACAAGTCTGATAAAATGTTAATAAAATTTATTCCTATTAAAAAAATACATAACAGAATGTTAGAATTTTCCTCAGAGATATTCATACAAATGTTCAAAATATAGTAATAATCAGTAGTTATCCTTCAAACTACTAAAACGTTAAATAGAATACAATCCACAGCACAGAGAAAACAAATCCAGATATTTCAGTTCACATGGAACTAAACAAATCGCATTAACAGTAACTAAGCAACTGAGCTGAGATGTCTCTCTCCGGGTTTTTAAAGCTTTCAATCAGTCGTGAGAGAGTTCTAGTAATATCTTTCCTTTTCGAGATTTCTGGAAAGCAAAAGAGTAGAATAACGGTTACAGCTAACACAGTAGTCAATTGCATTTATTCAATTTAAATATAAATTACAAGACAGCTATTTATTAAATGTTAAATGCATGTGTTTCTGTATTTTTACTTTTCCGGCGTAGCTTTCTTGTAAAATATGTCTCGTGCTGCATTGCACGGGGAAATAAAACAATTTTAATCATAATTCTACTAACATTATCCAACTAAATACAAAATTCATAGAAAATTTATTTAATTAAAAAACAATGCTGAGCAGATTGAGTCTCAATATTATTCTAACACCACATGGAATGTTACACATAGAATAGAGCAAAAGTAAATTCTCAAACTGTAGCAATCTAGCCAAATTTAAGAAGTAACTAATTATTTGAATATAAATATCCTAATTTAAATAATTTTCTATTGTACATAACCAGAAGACTCTCTCTCTTTCTTTAAAGACCCATTGTTGCCTTGATATATTTTCTTAAAATTTTTGTCATGAAAATGCTTACCACTTTTATTTACTACAAAGCTGGTTGAGGTAAAAATCTATGCTGAAATTCAAAAGGTGAAGTTTTAAAGCACATACACTCTGTGGCTTTACATAACACTTGCCTAGGAAATTTTTATTAATGTTTTTGAACCACAACTAAGCAGTCCAACAAAAAAACAAAAAGAAAGTGCAAAAAAGCACTTTCTTTTTTTTTTTTTTTTTTTTTTTTTTTTTTGTTTACTAAACAAAGAGGTGTCAGTTCTTTCAGAATTTCGCAGGAATTACTGGTGAAACTTTGGTGGGATCTTTGCCAATCTTTAAGTCTCAAATAATCTAAATGAAAACAATTCAAACAACAACAAATAACAGCAATTTCTAGGTATTTGAAAATGTTATTAATGAACTCACCAAGCATAAGATCTTTGACAACATCAAAGCGTGCTATTCCAAAAGCAGGGTCAGCATTATTATCGTACTTCACAATAGTCACTTCCCAATAATGTATACCCCGAGAAAACCCAATACTTCCAAGAACAACCCTATGCTCATAGCTGTCACAAGTCACTGTTAAATTTTCATTACTTAACACTATTTCTGGATGAGCAGTAATAGGATCAAAAGTAAACCATGCCACTGAAATATAAAAATCAAATTAATGTAATAATTAATGAAAATAAATCTATTTTTCAACTTAATATTATATTGATATACTCCAAAACTTACCTTCTGCAGTCTGCATAGAAATTGGTTCACTATATGGACCTTCTCCTGTACTATTATATGCCTTAACACGAGCATTATAAAAACTGTTGAAATGTAAACCATCAACAGTACATATAGTCTCTTTTCCACAATATACTTCCTAAAATTACAATGCAAAATCAATTTAAATATGCAAAATTAATATGGTAATTTCTACTTAAAAAAAAAAAAAAAAAAAAAAAAAAAAAACAAACTTTGATAAGACAAAATAATGGAGCAGTTAAAAAGGTCCAAGTCATTAAAAATTTGTTATATAAAGAAATATTATTAATTTAAAAACCTTAATTTATTGAACTTCTATGACATAAAAAGAGCAAAACTCCAGAATATATAACATGCTTAGACTAAAAAACACATACATAGTATTTATTTTAAAACAAACCAAAGAATGGTAAAACTCATAAAAGTATATGGAAGAAATATAATTTCAAAAATGCAAGCGCATACGCATATGTTTAACCCTTATACAGAAAGAAACACAAAGCTGTAAAAATCGCACGAGTAGTTTTTAAAAAATTAGCTCTCAAAATTTTAGACCCTCAATGTTAATTGAATTTGGTATATATTTATCAGTCTTTTTTTATTTAACTTATTTGATTCTTCTTTTCACATTTCGAAATTTAACCCCCCCCCAAAAAAAAACACACACACAAAGAACTGCACAAATTCAGCACTGTGCACAGTTATGGTATTGTACACATTAGATATTATATTATTGTGGTTTTTCATTTTTTGAAATTTGCTATTGTTTTTTTCTAGCTTTTAAAAATGTCACCAAAGTTCTTGTGGTAGCCACTTTGTGGACATACGTATTAATATAATCCATTTCTTGTTTATCCATTATACATATATATATTAAAACAATCCATAATCAGTTGCTGAAAGCATCAATAAGTGATGGCAATAATGCAAATGCACTTGTGCTAAAAACATAAGTTACAAATATTAAAAGAAAAGGTACGAATTTAAAAGGGGAATTATAAAACACAATTTACATACGAGGTAGAGGTTACATTGCTGAATGCATATATGCAACCAAAATTAGCATTAAACACAGTCCCGCAATCCCACCACAACTCCTTAAAAAGGAGCATGCCAGATTTATGCAAACAATGATAATTCCATGCACAAACAACGATAATTCCATGTAATCCGAGATAACCAAAACAGAAAGCATGAAACGAAGACAACAACTGGATGATGAAATGTAACCTTAGTCAACAGCACTGACTAACGACTAGTCACCAGCACCACCTAGCAGATTAATGATGAAATTTGCTGTCATAACTTGCTATGCAATTTTCAAGCCTTGTAATGTATCCTAGCTCTCATAAAATTCTGTATCAATATTTAAGGGACATCCTGTATACTGCATAAATGAAATAATGTACATAATGCTGTTCATAAATGAAATACTTTATATAGATGATTTTGTTATCCAGGTCAAAAGCAATTTCTGAACATGCTCTAATGTCTCTGATGTTTGTTTGGTAGATCTCTCCCTTTTGCAATGTTAGCCGATTTAACAGCGTCTTTGTTTCCCACAATTGTAGAAACTTATTCTTGTCATATGATATTAACAGCCAAGTCTCGAGCCCGCATGCTTTTCATACTTCTTAAAAACCTCTTTTTTCACCTCCATAATGATCCCAACTACTATTTTCTTCATTTTTTGACTCTTCTCATTAATTTTTTTTAAACTTAACCATTAAGGCTGACATATAAAGTACATTATAAGTACAGTAATGTTATAAAAAATTACATGAAAAAACATGTAGTTTGTAACAAACATACACACAAAACAAACAAACAAAAAATAGAAAAGATACCAATGCTCACTGATACTTCTACTTTTTTACTGATGCCCACGAGTTGCAATTTTTTTTACTGAGCATACTGATGCTATTCAGTGAACTGACTAAACTACTATCTTTACGTAGCATTATCTTGATAGAAGTGATCACAGGCAGAGTGCAGTCGCAACTCCTCAAACTTTGTCATATTCCAAACAAATAGTATATATATATATAGACTAAACAAAAGAGCTTCCAAACAGGATGGATATCAAGTTGGACATGTTTCAAAGCAGAGGTATACCGAGATAACACTGTATTTCATTTCAGGTTTCAAGACCAATGTATTTTTAATTTGAGTTAAAGAATATAATAAATACAGATGTTCACTTAATTTGAGTTAAAGAATATTATAAATACAGATGTTCACATAATGAAATTTATCATATTAGAACAGTATGCAATGTTTACAAATACATAGAGAGGAAAAAAAACTAAGTATTTTTACTTTGAAAGCACCACTGTTTCCATCATCTAATTCTAATATATAACCTTCAACAAAACTTGAAGGATGTGGCTGCCAAGCTATTGTAATACTATTGTTTTCAGATGTACATTCCTCTGGGATTATTATAGGAGCACCGGGAGCTGGAAAGTAAAGTAATAAAGTTTTATGAAATATAAACACAATATACATACTAAAAGAAAATTTATTAATTCAAATAAAAATAAAAATGTGTGCTACTATTTCATTCACGCCCGAACACAAAAATAATGCAGGCACCAACATTTACACCTGAATATCAATACATAAATTGAATTATCAAGTTCAAAATGCATTTCACTTTCACATGTTGCATCTCATACTCACATATGCCTGTCCTGTTTGAGATTATGCTTACTACAGTAATACTAAATGCTTCCAAACTATTTAAAACATTACACACCATGAAACCAGCAACATTAAGTGATTTATTAGAATTAGTTCAATTCATGAGACATTAATAGCTAAATATACTTATACCTTTATAATAATATTTGATCAAAAATTCTTCAACAATAATTTTAAGTCAATAAAGTTACTGCCATTAGACTACAATTTCTATCATAATACCAATACAGAGAATTCAGGTGCTTTTTACACACACATTAATTAACATTTAATGACATTCTTTTTTAATTCTTTTAAACAATTATTTTATTACTCCATAACTACCCAACATTCTTTAAGTATCTCTTTTAATATTATACAAGACTGAAAAGTTCTACCTTCTTCCCCTATTCCTTCATCTACCACTGTCTTTTAACTACTAAAACTGCTTTTCTTTCCAATTCCCCGCCCCCATCATATGGCAGCAACTATTCCACCATTTGTCTTCCTCTGCCTAGCACTTTACGCAGTACTTACGTAGCAACAATAAAATTACTCCAAAAAACATTAAAATATTATGTCATTTAAAGCTTGAAATTCACCATATTTACCTTGCTTCACCTTTAAACAATGTTAGCAAATTTTCATTTATTTTGTTTTAGGTCGCACTACACGTAGGATCAGGTTATTCAAACTTGATGGTTTGAATTATGATCATTTACAAGAATAAATGTCAGAACAAATGTTTATGTATTATCACCAAAGGTAGTTAGGTGTCACATTAAAACCCATATCACACATATAAAACACAGTAAGAAGCATTTTCCCAGGAAGTATAAAGGAAAACCTCCTATACTATCAGGTCAGTCCATAAGTTCGTGCGCATTAAGAGTATGCGTGGAATTCACTATAACCACATTTACTAAAACAATACAATTTTGAACCTGTTGAAACTTGTCATCGTTTCACTAACATATTATTCAGTTCATCACCAACTTTCTTAAATATCGAACGCATTTTAGTACCCATAGAAGATGAATATAGATAGTGACTACAAAAGTGCTGTGCTACATTTTTTATTTCTGTGTGGTGAATCTGCCAGGTTTGCAGCGATAAAAAATAATAGTGTACATGGTGAACACACTATTAGTGTAAGGGCTGCACAGAAATGGTTTTAAAAATTTTAAGTTGGAAAAAGCAGCATTGATGATGAACCCCGTTCAGGATGTTTTAAACTATTAGAACCAAATCAAACGGTTAATTCAGAAGTTTATACTGAAGAACTTTGCCGTCTAAGCTCAGAATTGATCAAAAAATGCCTTCGATTGGTGAATATCAAGAAAGTGTTGTTTCATCGTGATAATGCTAGACAACATATGGCTCGAATAATGCTGCAAAAAATTAGTGAATTTAATTGGGAGCTTTTGCCACATCCTGCTTACTCCCCAGATATTGCCCCAAGTGATTTTCACTTATTTCGTTCCTTACAAAATTTTTTACTGGGAAAAAAATTAAATTCTAAACAGGATGTACACAATGAACTTTCAAGTTTTTTTCCATCAAAACCAGAGTCTTTCTACAGCAGTGGCATAAAAAATCTGCCTGTAAGATGGCGAGACACTGTAGATAATAGAGGAAAATATATAATTGATTAAAATGTTAAATTGTGTTTTTTATATTATTTAAAAATTTACCAAAAAATGTGCATGAATTTATGGATTGACCCAATATATATGTTTGATTTGGTTTATTTGATTATTGCAAAACATTCAAGGGCTATCTGCCTAAGGGTAGGGATGCCTTCGTGGAGAACTTTTTAAGGGACTGGCTCACATACACATTACACATGGGGAAAATTAGGAACAGCTTCAGTGTAGCCCACCTTCAAAGTTTGGCTAATTTGTTTAGGCGCCAAAGCACATGAAATACGTTGTTTTGAAAAATGGTTGCCATACAGATTTTCGACAAAACTCTGTGTTCCAAAAAAATGGTGGCCATCTTGATTTCCTCACAAATCGTGAATAAATAAATTTACGACTATTATACACGATTTTAAGAGAAAGAAATATTAAGAAATGATTAATAAAAATTATTAAGGTTAAAAGGGTGTAATTTTAAAAACAATATCGGAAACCTTTAGCTATTTCACCCTTAATAAATAATTTGGTAAAAGCGTAGAATAGGCTGCATCAACAAAGTTGAGAAGGCAGAGCTGTGTGACGTCCATAAACAGGCGGGAATAAGCTTATGACATAACAATGTATTCTCGCTTTTATGCTATGCGTAATTTCTATTTTCTCTTAAAAACAATAATGAATTATTTATTATTGTAAATTAACATCAAATTCTTTACTTTACATTTCTGACATTTAAGTTTAAGCGTAACTGAAAATAAGTATAATAAACTGTTTATATTTAAAATTACTATGAAATGTAACGTATTAAGCGAATTGTACCAATTATTAAAACAATAAAGAACGTTGCAGTCTCTCATACTTGTATTTCATACACCTTCAGTATTTTCAAAGATTATTAAGCTTCAGCATTTATACAAATAAAAAACGATTTTTTAAAATTTAAATTAATACTCTGGAACATATTAAATTTATCATATTTACAAATGTAGCGACATAATCCCTTACATACCAGTAACTAGACGATTTTCATTATTTTCTAAAAATTTTAAACTTGAAATGAAATGAAAGTGCTTAATGAAAGGCTTTAATGAAAGTACAAAGTAAATGAAAGTACACTTAACAAAGTAAATAAAATAAGTTATTATTTGGTGCTTTTTAAACATTAATGAAAAACAGGTTCTTAAATTCCTAAATCACATCATATTCTCTGCAGGCAGGCATCCTAGAATTCTAGAATTCTACACATTAATAAATAAAAAAAATCTAATTTCTCACAATGAAAGAAAATATTATAAGAAAATAAATACTACAAATTTGGAACACTAAACAATGCTTCACATACAGACACATATACAGTCAAAAGTCGTTAATCCGGACTCACTGGGACTTCGGCGATTCCGGATTATCGATTTTTCCGGATTATAGATCATCAGTTTATATCGCGTAGGATGGCATGCAGAAATTCTAAAATTAAAAATATGAAACCGTAATTTATGAAATAAGGAACAATTATGATCTAAAGGGTATCAAAATTTACAAAAAAAAAGCTTAATATTTATTTGTTTACTTTATTAAACATTTCTTTCAATGTAAGTTGTTTCGTTTTATGTGATAATACTTTCTCTTTAATTCTATAAACAGACATAATTTTTGTTCACTTACAAAGTTCCGCTGTTCAAGTCCCGTTAATTGCTGTGCCGAGAATACCGACTAACTTGTCAATCGAAATTTTTTCGTTTTCACTAACCTCTCTGTCACATTCTTCATGTCTTTATCCATTTTTTGCAGCAATTCCACTTTTTGTTTGATGGACATCGAAACATACTTTCGTTTTGTACGATCCTTTGGGAGCTCCAGAATCAAAAATTCTATTTGACATAATCGAAAGTTCAAGTTTACTTTAGTATTGCTCTTACAATCTGCAAAAAAATAATAAGCCGGATCCAATTCGAAAATTAAGGAACAACGCAATCATCAACATTAACTGAAATAGATAATTATATAATTTTAGCTTACACCGTCCGTTATACATAAAACGCGCACGTGAAAACGTATTCTGTGCTTGCGCACACGCAAATGCGCAGTCATAAAGAGTCTTATGCGCCATGCGTAAACGCCTAAGCGCATGTGTCAACGCGGCGCATGCGCAGAAAGTTTTTAACTTCCGGATTATTCTTCCGGAGGTCCGGATTATAGATCATTCCGAATTATGGGTGTCCGAATTAACGACTTTTGACTGTATTATCAAAGAACTCATATTATCAAGTGCAATTACGATAGCAAACACTATCGTAATTGCACTTGATAATATGAAGAAAAATTGAGCTTACTACAGATGTATTATAATAATGAGGTAAAAGTTACTTATAGGGTCAAAGTTTACAGTTTTGCTACTGTTGAGTAGATCGTTGGGCTATTGATATATATCATAAGTCGGAAAGCGTTATAAACATATTAAAACCAAAAAATTAAAAATACAATTTAAATGAAAAATGATGTCTTAAATATAATTCACAATTAAAACAACAATACAAATTTTAAATACACAAACGATATGTTAAACATTACATATAAAATATGTTACATTACAGCTCGGAATCACACACTATCTCGTTTTCCCTTGTACACAACGATCGGTATTCGCTCGAAAAACATAAAAGAATTGCACAAACTTGGTGTCCATGTACACATCCATTTTCACCTTCAAAATATCAGAGAATTGCACAAACTTGTAACTGCGCATTACATTGGCTTTGCCCATGTACACATCGATCTATTTTCACTTATAAAACATCCGAGAATTGCACAAACTTGGCATCGTGCACTATATTTGCTCTGCCCATGTGCACATCGATCTATTTTGACTTAAAAAAACATTTTAGAATTGCACAAACTAGGCACCGCGCACCACCTCGGCATTGCGCACTACACTGGCTTTGCCCATGTACACATCGATCTATTTTCACTTAAAAAACATCAGAGAATTGCACAAACTCGGCACTGCGCACTACATTTGCTCTGCCCATGTACACATCGGTCTATTTTCACTTAAAAAAACATCCGAGAATTGCAAAAACTAGGCACTGCGCACAACCTCGGCATTTCGCACTACATTGGCTTTGCCTATGTACACATCTATCTATTTTCACTTAAAAACATGCGAGAATTGCACAAACTCGGCATTGCGCCCTACATTCGCTCTGCCCATGAACAAGCAAGAAATCGGAGAATTTCAGAAACTCTCGCATAACCAACTCCATTGATTCGCGTTATAAAAAAAATGTTTTCAGAAAAATTGAGCTTACTACAGGTGAACCAAGATCCTAGCCTGATTTCTCAGCTTTCACTTTTTGCATCTCCAAATACTACCATTCGATGACTTTTTTCTGACTAACTAACCAGCATGGTATCTCACAATTTTCACAACAAATGTTATCCTTCAATAATCTACAGTCCATCAAAAATCCTCTGAAAAGTTCATATTCTCTTGTTAATTCATGCATAAAATATCTGTTCTGAAACTTTTACGCTTGTTTGAAAACTCCCACCTTAAGTTTTCCTTTAAAATCTCCTGATACTCAAATACAACATCACTAACAGCAGTTTTAGAGCAAGCAATAACTAAATGCAAAAATATCACCTCCAAAGTAGCCAAAAAATATATACAAAATAGTATTCACAGTATCCGAGCATTAAAGAATCGACAATAACAGTGTTATGAATTATATTTAGATATTAATTTTAGTAGAATTCTAATTAAAAATGTTGTATTTCCCCCTACAACGCAGCATAAGACAAATTTAAGAGAAAACTATACCGGAAAAGTAAGAATACAGGGCACATGCATTAAACTTTGAGTAAACAGATATCTCGGTAATTTGTATTGAAACTGAATAAATGTAACTGACTACTATATTAGCTGTAACCGTAATTCCATCCTCTTGTTTACATTGTGTTTGGAGAATAGTATGGGTTAACACATCATATCATTTATTGCCGATCTTGGCGATATTTTTTGTTTAAAATTCTGGGTGGGCTATAATGAAGCTGCGCCAAAAATTACATAAACACCCATGCAGCCAGCCCATTTGCTGGAATTTGAACTCCAGACCAAACTACCACCGATATTATATAGAAGGTTTCTCTGACAGGTTGATCTATATGAAACTGAGCTTCCCGCCCCCCTGAACAGAAAATATTGTAGGTATGTATGAGTAACAAGTCACTGAATGCGACATTCCCCCCTCCAAGTCAAAGGCATAAACCTGCCGTTCGAACTAGTTCTGGAAGAAATGTATTTCTTGGAAAAGATTCTTATCGTGATTCACATCCATAGATCCAATAAAGCCATAAACATGTAGCAGTTTTTGCATTTACTCAAAAAATAGATAGCATGCCTTCCAATTTCAATCATTGTTTCTTCTTTTACCCATCACTGAAAACTGTCAAGTTACATCACAGTAAAAACCTTACTTATGAGTGTGCAAAGTTTATCTGACAGTAAATTTATGAAAAAATAAAAGGTTCTTATCGGTTATAATGAAACTCCCACCTTAAATTTTCCTTTAAAAAGCAAGATTTCCTCAAAAAGTTTTATTCGATGAGGTGCTGCACGGTCACTGTGCAAGTTGTTTCGTGAACCAGGAATTTTTTATTCCTGTAAATCACAGGTAAGGATTTTACTCCTTTCAGAGCTCTGGTTTGATATTCTTACCCAATACCGCTGGTTTATATTGGTAAGTTCCAGCTGCAGTGCTGCATACCAAAACAGTAACTCTTCCTCTAACTTCTTTCACCCTGGACGATGCCCTTTCTTCACTTGTCACATATGTGGCACCTTTGGCAAACATCACCAAAAAGTCCAGTCTCGTCGATATTAAAAATGTGCTCTGGGCTAAGATTTTCTTCTGCCACCAACACAGAAAATTCACCAATAAATTCCTCTGCAGCATCTTTTATCTGCTGAAAGTTTTTCTCCATAGGCTTTCAGATAATGCATATTGTTCACCTAACTGCTGCTGAAATCGCACCTGTCCCCTACTTTCAAATTAGCATGAAACAGTTTTCACTTTTCTCACAGAAACGATCCTGAAATTGGCACCCCATTGCTCCATTGCAGTTGGAACCATTCCTACAAGACAGCATCAAGGTCTTGTGGAAAGACTTCCAGTTCTGGATTCTGATGTTAGATTCACTGTTGCTGTAAAATTTGAACAGCTTTTCTTCATTATTCCATATATTATATACTGTGTTGCAATTCCATATGATCTGCTACAAACCGAGGAGTAGCATCTTGTTGCATCGCTTGTGAAACTTCCACTTTTTGCATTACCATCAATGCAACATGTTTATATTTTTCAATGTTACAAGCAATAAAATTATGAATACGTATCTTGCCTGCCATTGTATTAAGAAGTGCTGAACTTTAAAATATTTTTAATTTTTATCTACCAAAAAAAAAAGTCTGGATAAAACAACATAGCAGCATTAAATAACAAAGCTCAGGAAATACAACCATGAGTCATGACCTAGAAGTAGAAAAGTTGAACTGAAGTCACCTGCTTCTTTACCTCAATACAGATTGTAGGGGGGAAAACCTCTTCTACTATGATATCAATGACTTGGTACATATTTCTTTTTTTTTTTTTTTTTTTTTTTTTGGTTATTTCATTCTCCATGTTGCTGTTTCCTGAACCTATACACTGAATGCTTATATTTTGAGAGGTTATGCAAATTTCAGGTCAGCAGATTTTCAGTATTTGACTGTAATACTGAAAATCTGGATTAAATCAAGCTTCATTATAATACTTACGTTTCATTTGGAGAAATGTCATGCTTTCAATTGAATTGATGACAGATTGATGGTCTAAAGTGAGATCGAAATCATCAGTCACCCATGGCGTACATGGCATTTCTTGACTCCAGGTTAAATCTAGGTTAGATACTCTGTGAATAAGAGATGAGCCAATCTGGAAAAGTATTAAAAAACAGTTATGTATTGATAACAGAAATAACAGAAGTAGTGTAGTTATATACACAGAGGGTGTTCACACATTTTTGTAATGATTTTGCAAAGATTTATATATAAACAAACGCTAGAATTTTATTTTCTGATATGTTCAATCTCATAGCCCTTTTGTTGAACTATCATATTACATTTTGATTTCCAAGATAAAATTCCTTTTCTTAAAACATCAAGGTTGATTTTACTCCACTTCTCCTTCACCATCTTCCACAGTCAATCCAATGTTCAGGGATGCCGCTTATAAAGAGCTTGTTTTAAAAGTCCATATGCACAGTAATCCATAGAAGACACATCAGGGGACTTGGGTGGGATGCATTTGAAGAGAATAGCTTCAATGCCAGTCTCATTTCTCATTTTTTCAAAAAATATATTATTAGAGTAAATTTAGAAAATTAGAGACTTGGAGCCTTATCCTAGTGGAACTTAACACAGTGAAGATTGTTTGGATAAAGAGATGGAAGTTCTTCTTTAAAAATAGGTTTTAAAACATACTTCTGATAGTAACTGAATTAATTTTGACATTTTTTCCTACTATCCTTATTTTAAGTTTTCTGTTATAAGAGGAACCAGTAATAACAATAAAACCTTTAGAAAAACTTTCCTTGTTTTCTCTGAACCAACATAGTAATTCTTTTTCTCCTCTTTTACAGTGGTAAATCGATCTTTTTCTATTGCAATGAGATAAGTATATGCAAGCCTCATCATTTGTAACTATAAATTTCTATTTTTCACCTGCCAAATAATTTTCATACAGCAATCTACACATTACAGCTATCCCTCACTTTCTTAAAAATCACCTTCATTTTCAGGTTTTGAATGTAGTCTGAGTACCTTTTCTTCAAACTGACTGCTTACTTGAGTATCCATGTAATTTTTTGGTTGAAACATAAATATAAGGATATGTAAGTTATAGATTTTCTATGCATGAAATGTTAAAAATATTTTTTGTAATTTACCTTATGTATAAAACTTTGAATGGTTTTGCAGTTCCACATCAGTCAGTTATCAGTCTTTCCTATATAGAGTTTTTCACTGTTTTGTTCAAATGTTGTATATTTATTTATTTATTAATGTTGCAGTGATGAATCAAAAGCAATAATCTTTTGTTTTCAACTCATTTACCAAAATGAATTCCCCCCCCCCACACACAGATAAATATATAAGCAACCGTATTATCTGCTTACATGTAACAGTAATAGAGAATGTGTGGTAATACATCTACTAAACTGATTAAGAACCTTTTAAAGAAAAAGGCTAGAGATAAACATGTCTCTACAAGTGCCATATGAGACATTTCAACTGAAACCTGAAACATGTTTCTCAGTGTAAGACTACACAGTCTTACACTGAGAAACATGTTTCAGGGTTAGGCGATGAACATCATGTTTTTTTTTTTTTTTTTTTTTTTTTGATTAGCTTTAAATCAGATTTTATAATTTTGTTCCCCATTGCTACAGATATATTTTAAGATTTTGCGATAGCTCTCTTGGGGGAGGGGGGGGATTTTCCTTTAAAAAATGATTTGCGACATTAGATTTTATAAGAGTACTTTTATTGGGTATGCATTTTTTGCCTTTTTTTCCAGTCAAATGTAAATTTTGACATTTCTTTCCTTTCATATTAATTATGTCACTTATTTTATGTATAGAAATATCAAAACTATGCTTTTCACATCTTTTTTAATAACTGAATAAGAGTAATTCTCTTTGGACAGCACAAAAATATAGCCTTCAATCCACTGTTTATTTTTCAGCGACATTTTAAAGAAAAGAATATTTTTAATGCTGCAGATGATAATTTAACCTTATTTCAACTTGATACCAGTCACGTTTATATTTTAAAATTAATATTTTAATTAATGGAGAAAATCAAAGTCATTACAAAAATGTGTGAACACATTGTATTTATACAATAAGTGCAATACTAACCAATCTTAATTTAACCAGCTGTGAATTTAAGACCCGTTCAGCTGAAATGTCTCATATGGCACTTGTAGAGACATGTTTATCTCTAGCCTTTTTCTTTAAAAGGTTCTTAATCAGTTTAGTAGATGTATTACCACACATTCTCTATTACTGTTACATGTAAGCAGATAATACGGTTGCTTATTATATTTTAGCTTGTGTGTGTGTGGGGGGGGGAAATTCATTTTGGTAAAATGAGTTGAAAACAAAAAGATTATTGCTTTTGATTCATCACTGCAACATTAATAAATAAATAAATATACAACATTTGAACAAAACAGTGAAAAACTCTATATAGGAAAGACTGATAACTGACTGATGTGGAACTGCAAAACCATTCAAGAGTTTTATACATAAGGTAAATTACAAAAAATATTTTTAACATTCCATGCATAGAAAATCTATAACTTACATATCCTTATATTTATGTTTCAACAAAAAAATTACATGGATACTCAAGTAAGCAGTCAGTCTTGAAGAAAAGGTACTCAGACTACATTCAAAACCTGAAAATGAAGGTGATTTTTAAGAAAGTGAGGGATAGCTGTACCAATGGGAAAAGCACCATGGAATTTATTTTACAAGTACTTATTACAAAAAACTATTGACAGATTCAACAGCAGCAGAAATGTGCATGCACATATACACACACAAAGAAATCAAGAATACATTGAAGAAAAACATTTACACCTACAGCATTATTGTAATACTGACTAAACTGATATAAACCAGAAAAACTTTTCAGGGATACAACATTCATTTCTTTTACTGGGAAGTTAAAGAAACCATTTATGTTTAATAATAAGCACATATAATGTCATACAGTGGCACATAAATCAGTTTGACAATGATCTACTTGTTTGAAGAGTCATTTGGTGAAGAATTTACTCACTTTGCTTCACATAGAAAAAAAAAACACTTCATGTGCTCAAAAATGCTAACAGAAGTAGCAACCATAACACACCACCTCACGCATACAAACTAGAATGTGAATACGAATACATAAAATTTTATTCTTATACATAAAATTTTATTCTTTCTCCTAATCTTACAAGCCTGTTGCAATCTGTGAACCAGGGAGTAAACTTCAAGAGGTACTTGCTGCAAGCACAAATTTCTCTCAGAAATACTGTTACGAGATGTGCAGGGGCCGTAAGCTGGCTTCCCTGCAAAGCAGTTTTAGGGTTCCCATAAAAATGGCAAGGAAAGGCAGGGTTGTCACATTTGGCGAGAAATTGCCCATTTGGCAACAGAATTGGTGGTATACCGAGGACGGATGGAGAACCTTCTCGAACGAATTCTTACCGGTTTAGCCCAGAATGTTCTCGAACACAAGGCGAAAGCTATATAAACCCTGCTGGTCCACAGCCAGTTAGTGTGTGTGCTTCATCGAGAGGGCAAGTCAGAGTGCCTTGTCTGGAGTGCGAGAGAGTCAGTATCAAGTTGATCTATCGTCTAGCGAGTCAATCCCTGCGGAGTCGATCGAGATGACAGCCGGGCAACGAGTGCAGAGTGGGTCGTCGAGTTCACAGAAGGAGTCTCTTAGCATATCGCGGTTAGTACATCGTCGAGAGAGTGTGTTAAGCTCCGGGAACGACTGAATCGAAGAGTCGGGAGCTGAAATCTGTGTGTTGTCGAGTGCATCACGAGTTGTAGCGTGGAGAGTCTCAAGAGTATGTGGAGTTCCGATAACGACAGAGCAGAGTCGGGGGCTGTACTCTAGTGCTTTGCCGTGAAGCTGTCTCCACCGTGATAGCCTGATAACCTGGAGGCTGTGTCGCTGATCGTGTCAGCGTGTTTATAGTAGTTCATCGACGACTGTAAAAACGTGTTTTGGAGCTGTCCTGATTAATATTGGTAAATAAAGTGTGTTTCGATACTTCATCAAGTAGTATTGTCATTATTCACTCCAAATCCACACAAACTCCATACGAATGTGAAGGAAGAAGATAACGTAACAACTGGTGTCAGAAGAATAAAAAAACATAACAATACTTTGCAATCTGCAAGTTACAGACACAGAACTTATTGCTAAAGGTCATAAAACATCATGAATACAGAGTAGCTAAAACATACAGCTACAGATAATATAAATGGATAAAACCTATGAGAAACGGATAAAACCTATGAGAAACGGATAAAACCTATGAATATGATACGGATAAAACCTATGAAGAAATGATTCAATCTACGTTTGTCAAATCTTGGAAAAGCAAATGCAAAATAAGTAATTTTAAAAAGTACAGAAAATAATACCGCAGAACATAATTCTAGAGAAGTGCATCATGTTTACTGGTTTGTAAATAACTACTCATCTAATAGGCTGAAAATTTTTTTATCATCCATACCCTCACCAAAGCGTTGCAGTCTTATTGCCAACTTTATAAAGTATTCATGAACTTGTTGGCACCTAACTTTTCATCAAAATAATACATGAACAGCAACAGCCATTTTTAAAATGGCGATGCACTAAGAATTCCAAACAAGAGCAATCAATAAAATTAAAAAGGCAAGAAACATCAGGAATAAAATCTGGTTTTCAAGAAATTCTTATTTACTGAGCTGTTGGTCTCCTCATGTACAAAATAATCTATTTTCACTTTAAAAAAAAAAAAAAAATCAGAAAATTGCACAAATTTGGCATCTAACAGATTAAGCATTGCACACTGACCAAAATTGGGATGTGCATTAATTAGTTTTTGGCCATATTGTATGTAGTTAGCTAACTATTTTGGCAACATACTGCTTTGTCTCTCGATTACTTTTTCATAACTTTTCAATGGGAGTACAGGTAATTACTGATGATTAGTTCGGAAACGACTTCTTAAATCAGGGTTTGTACACTGAAAACATATGCATTATTGATGCATCAGTTGCATTTCTTAACTTAAATTTGAATTTTCAAGCTAATTGATGAGTGTGATGTATGGGTGATGCCAACCAACAAGATGTATAGAGGGCGCTGGCTCTCAATCTGAAG